AAATATGGCAAGCTAAGATTATAAAAAGAACTTACAAGACAATCCATAATTTTCGTAAATTCTTACAGTCAGCGAGAGCATTAATGTCCTGAACTATAACACAACAGAACCTTAGTATTAGTACTTATAAGTTATGTCATAAATTTCTCAACTTTATTGCAACTACGCGGTCTAGATCTAAAAGCAATAGAATACGCAAATTTAACACCCGCATAAGTTGAGTTTATTGCAATGTTTTGCAAATGCGTCGAGTATCTATAAATGTGCAATAAAGGTTTAATTGTTCTAAAATCTAAATCATTTAGTGTTTTCAGATACAAAAATCCTTCGTCTTCATGTAGAATCATTTTGTCAGATCTAATTCTGAGAAAAATATATAACTTTTGTATATATTGCAGGCATAATACAAAACCAGGCATTTTATAAAATACCTAAGTCAAAATCAGGCATTTTACAAAAAGCCGGCACAATATCATGCGTGTACCTACTTATAATGCATCATTTAAATTTCGCTTAAATGTTTGAGACGTATAAGAGTTTATGTCAGTGTTATGGAAAATAATTTGCTGATATGTGTGTATAAACAGTACACATGTAGACGGAGGAAGGGCGGAGCCCTCCCTCGCCCACGCACACATTTGCAAAATTTTTTTAATTATATTATGTACAAAAATCATTTCCAAACTCTTATTTCTTATCTAAAATTCTCGTTATGTCGGCTTTTTGTAAAATGCCTGATTTTGCCTGCAACGTATATGACTGCAGAATACGACGTTCGAAATGTCGAACATATACATATATACAATATTATATATATACGTACATACATATACATATACATATATATATATATATATATATATTGCACTACAATTCAGATAACTCTTATTCAAATAACTCTCAACATTTTCAACTATAATGATGTTTTATATTGTGATGATTGTGATTATTATATTATTGCAATAATATGAAATTTCAAAGACAACTTGTCTCTTTCTATGCAGCTATTTAACTTACCTTAAATTTCGTATCTCACAACATTTTTATATGACATTATGTGCAGATTTCTTAATGTGTCTAAATACGCAAATAGTGTATATATATTGTTATTAGTTTTGATAGATATCATATTAATTATTTTCAAATACGATTTTGATAATAGTACTCCTTTTTATTATATAATATCTATATATTTTCGAATAATTTATTTTTCAAACAAATATGGAGAAAGAGGCACGGAATTCTGTGTCACATGGAATTAATCACATATTTTTGCAAGAGTCTTGTAGTCTATTTCTTTTATTTTGTATATGTATATGCACAAAATACAGCACATATATCTCGCCAATAATACAGAAATTCACAAATAGTACAAATAGTATATCGAATGTCCGATAATGTTATATATTCAAAAGAAAGATTTGTTTAAGAAGGACAAATATATGTCTTTCAGTTTGAGACTCGCAATCTATTTCGGATTGTAACACAAATCAGATAATTTGTAAATCTAATAATTAAAAGAAAATGCATATATTCAAATTGAGAAAGTTCTAACTCTCGAAGACCAGTTAAATTATAGAAGAATATAATGAGATGTTATGGTGTTGCATTAACAAAAGACCTCGCCATGCCATATATCCCTACGAAAATTGGGTTTCGGTGAAATTAGCTAAAACTTTGGAAATAAATTATAGTTTATGTAATGCTGATGAAAAGTCAATGGGCAAGATTCACAATAATCAATCGTTTAGATGTTATCTGCGTTCAAAAGTCAAAATAAGGCGTTATGTCAGTACACTATTGTAGGATTGCAAGTGGATTGCAATGTATTATTCTACAGAATAACTCACACAACTTATTTTTTTTTTAAATACAAAAATATGTATTAATGTGAAAGAAAATATGTACATGCTATATACATGTATGTCAGTTATGTTATAAGATTATAATTATATAATATGTATATACATATGCATGTATACATATTTTCTTTACATAAATACATATTTTTTTATATTAACAAAAAGAATAAGTTGTGATTCTGTAGAACAATACGTTGCAATCCACTGTCCCACAATAGTACTGACATAATGCCTTATTTTAACTTTTGATAGCATCTAAACGGTTGATTATTGTGATTATTGTGATTATTTTGAACGTCGTATTCTGCAGTCATATATGTTGCAAGAATACAAAATCAAGCATTTTATAAAAAGCCTAACGAGAGCTTTAGATAAGAAATAAAAATTTGGAAAAATTGGAAATAACTTTTGTGCATAATATAATTAAAAAAATTTGCAAATATGTGCGTGGGCAAGGGTGGGTTCCGCCCCTCCCCCGTCTACATGTGTACTGTCTATACACACATATCAGCAAATTATTTCCCTTAACACTGACATAAATTCTTATTTTTCTCAAACATTTAAGCGAAATCTAAATGATGCATTATAAGTAGGTACACGCATGATGTTGTGCCGGGTTTTTGTAAAATGTTTGATTTTGACCTAGGTATTTTATATGCCTGGTTTTGTATTTATGCTTGCAATATATACAAAAGTTACATATTTTTCTCAGAGTTAGATCTGACGAAAAGTTTGAAGACGAAGGATTTTTGTGTCTGAAAACACTAAATGACTTAGATTTTAGAACAATTAAACCTTTATCGTACATTTATAAATACTCGACGCATTTGCAAAATATTGCAACAAACTCAAAACTTATGCGGGTATTAGATTTGCGTATTCTATCGCTTTTAGATCTAGACCTCGCATTTGCAATAGAGTTGAGAAATTCATGTCATGACTTAGAAGTATTAATACTAAATACTAAAGTTCTGCTGTATTATAGTTCAGGACATTAATGCTCTCGCTGACTTTTCGTAAGAATTTATGAAAATTATGGATTGTCTTATAAGTTCATTTTAATCTTAGCTCGCCACATTCCGGTCCAGTGGACCGCTGAAAGCGCGCGCGCGTTTTTCGGTTTTCTAGTTTTCACATAACAACATAATTTTCCAATTTTTTTATAATAAGTTTAGTTTAAATTTATATCATTTTCTTGACTTGATATTATCATAAACATCTTATTCAAAGTCGATATTTTTAATTTCTAAAGTAAGCTTAAAATTATTAATTAGAATGAAAATGACAATGCGACAAAGTCGAGCAGTCTCACGGATCGAAGTGTGGTGAAATATATAAGGACTCAAAAATAAGTGGCTATAGCTAGAATTAATTTTAGAAATCGATTGTTTGTTCCGTCAATGATAATTAAACAAGAAAAGTTTGTTACTTTCGACTACAATTGGCAATATGTACAAAGAAACGTTACGACGACGACGTTTCCACCCTTCGGATTGGGTCCTTTTCAAGCATCATGGTAAATTGATCTTTGTCACGAACCTAAACATCTGTATTTACAAAGATTTTACCCGAAATAGTAATAAAATTGTCGATGCATGAGTCAGTGACATCAGAGAATGCGTTTCATAAGAGGAGTGTGGCCACCGCCAAGAAACGGAGCACGACGTGACCGCGGAGCGACTGCTAACGAGTGATTTCATGTCGGAGTTCAAAAGTGTACTGACGCCGGAGGAAAATCCCGGAAACCCCGGGATCCAGAGGACGAGCGTGGCCTAGTAGACAGCGCACTGGTCTATTGAGCCGAAGTCCCGGGTTCGAGCCCCGGTAGAGCTAAAAAAATTATATTCGCTCGTTCTCCTCTCGGAAGGCAATGGCAAACCATCGAGAGTGTTCTCGCCATGAACACTTCTTTAAAAAAATATAGCCGTTCGGAATCGGCGTTAAACTGTAAGTCCCATATACAATGTGTATAATCTACGTGCGCAACACATGTATATGAAGAGAAGTCACCACGCTCGGACACGCGAGTAATAGGACTGAGGATGATGATCCTCCTATGAACACATCCGTCTGCATAGTTCTTACAATGCCACTGACGATGGGAAACAGTCGCATTGATTCTTTAATACACGCTTTAACTAATGTTATATCGCAAATAACGTGGAGATACAGGAAAAATTGCGAAAGGAAGCAACAATTGTATTACCTGACAAAGGCGTACTGACGCTTTTGAACTCCGACATGTAATCACGCGTTAGTCGTCGCTCCGCGGTTACGTCGTGCTCCGTTTCTTGGCGGTGGCCACACTCCTCTTATGAAACGCCTTCTCTAATGTCACTGACTCATGCATCGATAATTTTATGACTATTTCGGGTAAAATCTTCGTACATACAGATGTTTAGGTTCGTGACAAAGATCAATTTACCAGATGCTTGAAAAGGACCCAATCCGAAGGGTGGAAACGTCGTCATCGTAACGTTTCTTTGTACATATTGCCAATTGTAATCGAAAATAATAAACTTATCATGTAGAATTAATTTTCTTTTAAAATACATTTTACCGTTTTATCAAAAATTTTGTTTGCTTTTCTTGCGAGCATCTTAAAAAAGTTATATTAATTTTATCTTTGCAATTAAAACATTGTAAAAATTATATAATTTTAGTACAATTTTAGAACAATGTCCAAAACTGCAAGAGTTTTATCTCATATTCTGTAATATTAGCGATGATTTCACTAACGAATGGAAGGAAAGATGTCCGCATGTGTCCGTCTATATATATATGACTGATAATTTGAATAGTACGTTTATCATTTTAGAATATATGTAAATAAATATACATATATAAGTCAGTTTACTTTATAGAAATTATCTGGTAAATTAAATAGTAAAAGAAGTTAATGTCTAATAAAAACGATACCCACATTTATTGATAATTTATTTTTTAATTTATTTATTTGTACAGTTTTTCTCTCTTTTTTTTCACAAATTGATTCTTTTGGACGATGGTCATATATATATATATATACGAAACAGCATTACCGAAATGCTTGCAGCATCAAAAGTTGCAGTATATGCAATTTAAAAATTCTTTTTATATCGATGGAATAGGTTGCACTGGTGAATAAATGCACAAACATTTAAAAAATGTAATGTATTTATAAAAACGTAGGATATAAAATTATACATATATCGTATTAAGAAGTCACATTCAATTTTTGTTCAGCACTGATTCCATATTCGTAATTTTCGAGAGTAACCAGCTTGCTTTTAACGATTTATTTATTTCATTGAAGTACGTTTGAATTGCATTCGTCGCTTGTTCCTGAACGAAGTTTACAATCGTGTTCTTAAAGAACGGAGTTATGATATTGACGATAAACGTGTTTACCCAATCCACTAGTCCGTTCTTATTTTCGATTATCACTTTAATCTTACTGTAATAATATAACACATAGTTGAGTTAATTGAGTAATCAAGCTTATAAAAGATTTCTTTATATAGATAACATAAATATATTACAAGAAAGATATGGATTCTACATAATAATTTATGTAGATTAATAGACATTACCCTGGAACTTGTAACTCGAACTTGTCGAGAGATAAAGTTTGATTCATTGAGTTGAATCTGACGGCAGTTTTAGCGCGTACATTTGCCGACGAAGCTAGAATGCGGCCCTTCAAGTTGAAAAAGACCAGGTTTACGGTAAAACTGTATGATCCCTGAATACAAAGAAAAATATAGTATCATCAATATAGTATATATATATATCGTGTAGTATATACTTAGATATGCAATTCACCTGGTATATTTTTTAATTATGTTATTTAAGACAAGTAAAAGTCAAGGATAGAAAGGCTATTCACGCTACCTGTAAAACTTTAAATTCGAAGCCAAGATTCAGCTTTACGTCTTCAGCTTTGTAACTTAAGGTGGCGTTGCCATAACGCTTCAAATCGGACAAACGTTTCAGTATACCCGAGTGCAAAATGAGATCGGCTTTGTATATCATTGGTTCGACTTGGTTCGAAATGGTGGTGTCCGAAAGGTCCTGGCGTAAAATTAAAACAGTAGCTTTCATATTGGGTCTTAATAAAATCGTGATGTATAATTTTGTTATCGTAAGTAATTGAGTTAAGCTCCGGTTTATCAGAAATTAAATCTAACAGTATATCACGTGTGGCGAGATGTGGGTATAATTAGACAAGACGTGTAAGATTTCGTTGCTTATCGGCTGCGCAGCTGCATTATCTGCATGCTCCAAAATAATAAGATCATTGTAATGCGAAATCAAAAACAATGTACATGCTTTATCGGCGATAACTCTTCTGCAGTGGCGCAAATAATCTTACGTTTCAAATTAACTTGCTCTTAAATATGACATGTTACTTTCCACGCGAATATCGCGAGTAGTTCTACTTAATAATAGATTAATTAATTATTACTTCTATGAAATAGGTAGAACAATTTGTTGGAATAATAAATAAAATAAAATGTTACTTAATATTCTGCAAAATCTACAAAATACTTTATTTATTAATTCTCAATTCTCATGGAAAGCCTTCAAAAATCTTTTTCTCTCTATTGAGAAATTTGAGAATATATACGAACTCATTCAATTTCATGGTGCTACCGGCACGGTGCAAGATAAATGGCTTAATTCACAACCGACATGATCCGGGAAGAGTTTAAGCACTTGCGCTAGAACGGCGGCATTGAACTTGAGCCCGAGCTCGCCGTCTACCTCGATCTACCGGGTGAAACCTTGGTTTCACTCTCGTCCAAGTTCAAAGATATTGCGCGCCAGCCTTCGAAGGCGCAAAAATGGGATCGGCGAAAACGAGGCGAGGGATGACCTCGGCGTTTGACCGTGATCCACCGCGGCCCAAGGTCAACGCTCGAAAGTGTCATCCCGGGATTCACTCTCGCTCTCGTCCAAGGCCCAACTCTTCGGTTTCGCTTTCTACGGCCCCGAGGTTAAGCGTGCGCTCGCTTTCGCATCGCGGCCCGCTGACCTCGAATCCCAGCTCTGACCCCGAAACCCAGCTTTCTCCCGATTTTCGAGGCAACCACTCTCGCGATTGTGAGCGAACCTGCACGCGTTTACTGTAATAACGGACTCTCTTACGTAAATGACTGGTTTTCTCGATGGTATTACGGAATTTACGCTGTGAACTCTGCAGGCTTATAATTTATTACTAAACCTTTATTTCGCGAAGAAAGATTCATTGTAACGTGTATTACGACAAATATTTGCTAACTAGTCGAACGTAATTAATAATCAAAATAGGTATCTTTCAATTTAATATTGTTCTTATCATTTTATAAATTGAATTTATATAAGAGCATTACGTACCATCCATAATTTTGTCTTCGTTTGTGGGAGATTGAGTGGGTCCAGGTTATTATTGACAATAAATTGCGAAATTTGAGGAATAAATTCGTCCACAACGTTATTTATATTAGTATCTGAATTTACATTGTCTATAATATTCCTATAATTAATGAAAATTTACGATTAATTTATTTCGATTAAGTTGGATCTTAATTTTTAATAATATTAAAAAAGAGTTAAATTGAGAAATAAAACAGATGTTACATAGCGAAATAAAAGAGTTAATAAGCAAAGTATAATAAATAATTATTCTATATCTATATAATATACGTTAAAATAATTTTCAAGATTTAAAACAAATTTTTTTCTGAGTGCAAATAATTGATATTCAAATGTTAAAAATTGAAATTAAAGTTAAAATAATAATATTTGATAGCGATGAAATGTTACACTTACAGAATTTCTAGCTCCGCCGAAGCTAAAGAGATAAATACCAAAATAACGTAAACGAACTTCATGGCGATTGTAACGAGACTATGCCAAATCTCTATGACCATATCGCTTTTATAAACTCCTCAAACTCAAGTAAATCCGATTATCGGATTATCACCATCTCTCTCTGCGTAATCTCGACAATCATCAATCAAAATGCATTCCTTCGATCATATCTTTATTGCGCAGCCATCCAAACGAATGATGAAAGCAAGGATAAAATAAACAATATTATCGGAAATATCTGAAGTATAGGTATACAAGGAAAATAAATCAAGTCAATATAAAACGCAGTTAGGGGGAGTCCGGGAGACTTGACCATAGAGGAGAGTTGAACCACTTCAAATATCTCGTTCAGATTTTGAACAAAGAGCTCAATCTGAGCACGTTAAAACACGTTTGTCCCACTCACAGTCGAAACGCATTACCAAGCGTCATATTGTCACGTGCTCGGATTGAGCTGTTTGTTCAAAATTTAAACGAGATATTTGAAGTGGTTCAACTCTCCTCTATGGTCAAGTCTCCCGGACTCCTCCTACATATCGTTTAATCTGAACGGAATTATCTCACGGAAATATAAACTGTTGGTTGTTAAAGTTATAAAATAGTTTGAGAATCTATTTACAAGAAATAAAACATATATAATTAAAGAGCTCTTATTTATATTAAATATTATATTAATAATTTATATTAAATATTATATTAATAATTTATATTAAATTATTTATATTAATAATTTATATTAAATAATTATTAAATTAAAAAATTTCTTATCTTATTAGATTATAAATTCGAACTTTATAGAATATATATAGTAAAAAATTGCGTTTATATAGCAAGCAGTTTGATACGTGTAAATGTTGTTTATTTGTTCATCTGTTCATTATTTCTACTTAACGAGGTAAAGTCGATCTCTACCGAGAGATTTTCGACGTTTGTTATCGACGCAGACTCCATCTCGTTACGTGGCGCTCTCTGTACTGTAAATCTTAATTTATAACATTCACGAGGCGAATTGCGTTACATGTATATTTACAGATAATTAAAATAATATTCCACAAATTATTTTTTTAATAACATACAATTTCAATAACGAATTAAAATCCAAGTTGCATTACAGTTTTAGATTTAAAAAAGATTTTACACTTTGTGATTTTATAAAAAAAATTCTAGCCAAATTTTAACTGTAAAGTTAAACATTTCTACAAGTTAGGAGATTATTTAATTTCAATCTTCTGTTATCTTATTGTTTAAGTTTACGTTATTATATGTATGTATATTTATTTGTGTGCATAATAATGTTTATATTATTCATTTTTCATCATATATATCTCTATAGAGTATGTTGCAATAAAAATTGTAATCGCGTGTTTACCGAAGCGAACAGAATATAGAAATTAATTTCTTAACTTTAATGACTCGTTTCTTAGTACCGAAAATAACAAGCGGCATAATGGAACAATAATTCTGTAGTTGTCGTTTATGCCTGGATATTATTCAAAGTTCGCTAACAACACTTTTTGTCTCTTTCTACGTCTCTATCGTTTTTTACCAACTTTCAGATTCCTGAAATGAGCGCCGCGACGCACTAGGAAGTCGTCGCGAGTGAAAAACAATCTTGTTTGTCGGCCCTGGCAAATTCGTCCTCGACGAATCATTTACGACGGACCAATCGCAGCTCGAGAAAAAGTGGGTGTATATCGTGACGTATCTTTACTACGCTTTAATTGCGAAATCTGATGCGTAAGAACGCGCGCACACTACACTGTAACATGTCAACATAACTGAAACGATTGTAACTTCACGCGCACACATTCAAGATCTGTTTTATGTCGATCGCATAAAGCAGCATAAAGTGACTCTTCTCGACACTCTGAATATATCGTCGCCTAGCTAGCTCGTGCACTATCATATTTCAATAGCAGAAAAATGATATTATTTTGCGGTGTAATCAGAACCCAACTGTTTAATCATTATATATCTTACTTGTATCTTACTTTCATCAACTTCATTATCTCGATGAAACTCTATTAACAATGCCGAATAGGAGTGTATTTTCTCACAGTAAGATAATAATACATTGCTTACAATCTTGATAAAAATTAATAATTTCGTCTATTAGAGATTAATAGGTATTATCAGATAAAGAAATTCCTTTAAATTAATGAACGCTCCAAATAACTCGAGATAATAGGTCTCGTCTAAGCTTCTCTCTTTTTAGATAAAAAGAAAAATGGTTTCTCGCGCATTATCGCGACATATATACTTCCTAACGGATAATTGTTCAAGCGAGAAGCATCTGTTTGAGTAATAGAGGCCTCCATCGCAGATTACCGCAACGCTGTATTGAGAGGAAGGAGGCAGAAGAGCGCATTGCTTTCTCCTTCTATGCGGTTGAACGATCGAGGTCGTTGAAGAGAAACCCGCGGGCGGCGCGCTCTTGTTACTCCATTTTCGCCTTCGGAGGAACTCCTATACGGCCTGCGTATAAAAGCCGCGGATATATACATGGTGGTTAGTAATTGCACTCGCGATTTCCAAGGTCGGTGACCTCGCGAACGGCCGTGACGTAAGGCAGGCCATCTGCTATCGCGGAAAGGGATATCGCGAGAAAGTTTCGAGACTGCAGCACCGCCAACGTATTCTCGAGGGGAAGGTGCAGGACGAAGGGCTCGCGGCAGAAGATTGACAAGATAACAGAATCGTTGTGACGCGTACACTTTGCAGAAACTTATTTAGCGGGAAAGCGAAATTTCAGAAAGATAAAAGATTGAAGCTTGATTTTAGGAAGATAAAAACTTGATCTCGAAAATTCCAGAAACGCGGTAAAACTAAAAATAAAGCGCTAAGTGTATGATATCTCTATCTCGGGCTAGATATATACCATAAAAGGAAAAGATTAAACGTGAACACGATGAGATTCTATTATATTTTTATCCAATTGATATTCCTGAGGAATGACACTTTGATATTTTGTACGACGATCAATGGTCAAGTCGAATGCCTCTTTATATCAGTCGACATGTCATACGATGTCAGAATCTTAAATTAGCTCGATTACCAACGGAGTTCTACTATCAGCTGTTTTAATATGATGCGTATTGCAAACGCTACCTGTTTCACCTAATAACCGTTCAACGAATTAATGTCAGTTGCTTAAATTTTTAATAGGAAAGAATGAGAGAGATAAGATTTTCAAGTACTGTTTTTCAAACCGGTTTGAGAGCTATCAAGCGTAAACAAATGCGTATGTACAACACTACTGTTTTTATTTGTTACATTATGTGATGTTGTATTACGCAGCAGAAATTATAACGAGTCAACAATTCTCGTATGGTTTTCTTATTATCAACCGACGAGCGAAACGTCTTGTTGTGACTGCACAATAGCAGATAATGCACGATTACTTTGTTCAACTTCGTACGTCACCGATAAAAATGTGATGTTAACCTTCTATATTCCCCTGGATTGATAAATGAAGCGAAGTCAAAGTACTGTCTCGATTAGTTGTCATGATTATGACGCATAAATTATAAACTATAAATAGATAAATTTCTACGTAATGTAAACAATTTTTGTCTTCTTTTCAATATTTTACAGAGCTGCTAGTGTTTTTTTTTTTAACAAAGTAGAATCAATATTTTTCTCAAATCGCGAATATTTATTCCAATTAATGAAAATATAAAGAGGGCTTTAAGCGCATTTATTCGTGAAATAGCTAATAATAACTTATAATTATAACTGAGCGATAATATCGTATGAGAGTTACGCTAACGTGATTATAAAAAAAAAATGGCAATTATATAAATGGCAATTAAATAAAACGTGGCCTTGTAAAAGATTAAAATAATTAAAATATGTTTAAGATACTGTGGGCCTATTCTGTAATTCTTAACGACAGTTTCGTTATCGTTATATTGTCATTGCGCAGCTTTTTTAGCATATATAATATCTGCGCAATGCAAATATAACGATAACGAAACTGTCGTTAAGAGTTACAGAATAGGCCCTGATCACCGATCGCGCACAAAATTAAAAGATTATTCGAATAAAACTTTCACCTCGCTAATTATATAATGTGCATATGGTGTGACATTATAGTAAAAATACATGGTGCACAGCGCACATGTCGTATCTTTATTGTCTCGTAATAATTAAGATATTGTTTCCTTGTTCTATTTCAAACATTGAAGAGTTTGCACGTGTTTTTGAAATTCTTCAAAAACAGTATTTCGTAAGAGTTAATATTCTTGTATTATCTATATTACTACGTCAAAGTGATGGGCCGATGTGGAGAGGCAAAGAAAAACAACAAATCAGTCTTTGAGTACGATTCAATACGCATAGGAAAGAAATAACAAAGCTTTTAATTAATTAATTAGAAGATATTATGCGTCTCTTGCTAATAATTTAATTATTATAATTTAAAGAGACGAATTAATAACGCGTCGGATAATTTAAATCAGTATAAAATTATTTTGTGATAAATACTTGGTGACATGTATATAAAAAAATATAATACCTTGATTTATCATTTAACCCATTTGTCCGCGTCACTGACTATGTCAATGATACAAATTTTTGTAGTTTATAATAGCATATAAAATTTGAAAGAAAGAAAACGATTAAAAGAAAGCACTTTATTAAACGTAAACTAAGGAATAGTAAGTAAAAATTATCTGAATATGTGCTAGGTTCAGAATATGCTCATAATGGAATTTCAACTGTTCCTCGTCTATCAGTAGGACTCGCAGCAAAAGAGTTATAGTATTTTTAATGATTTTTGTCATAAGTATACTACCGCTTAAATTTTTTAGTCAATTAGCGCAGCTTATTGCTCCGTCATTTTAAATTATATTAGATCAAATTATTAGCGAGAGACACATAATATCTTCTAATCTAATTAGCAAAGTAAAAGATATAAAAATTTATTATATTTCATGGAAAAATATGTATACGTTTATCTTTAAATTTCTAAGCAGACAAGATAGTTAATTTAAATTTTAAAAACACGATACACGCGTTAATAATATACACTAATAATAAAGCTAGATATTTTTGTTGACCAATTATCCTTTAAAATTGATGCATTATTATTCTATATTTTCAAGAGAAAAATCATCCAAGGGGGGGAATGACAGAGCTACATAAGTTATCTCGTGTCACTAGTGATAACAGCCTTGGAAAAAAAACTATGCAGTAATAAGTACATTCAACCATCCAAGGCACATTCGAACGTCATCATGTAGAATAAAAAAATCACCAATCTGTTAAGTGAAGAAGCATGAAAACACCTACGAGGACGAGCCTCTGTTGTCGCGCAATAATTGGCTAATCGTTGTTGACGTGAGTCTCTTACGAAAATGTTTTTCGGTACGTGGCTAATCGCGCGATACGGCTCGGTGCCGTCGCCGATCTAGGCCAACGATCTTCACGCATTTTGCTTTCTTTAGTCCTCTACATTGAGGCAAAAAAGGCTCGCTGGTCCGACCCGTTAACGACCAATCACCAAGCTCCTCCTCATACGAAACACATCGCGTGGTCTTACCACCTCGCACGCATACTCGTCAGCGAATGTGTATACACACGCGTGTTTCGTGTACAGAGTGACGCGATTGTCCGTGAACACGTCTGTAACACGTGTATAACCCTGAATAGATAATCTCCAAGACGAATGCTTCGGTACAATCGAATTGGAAAAATGTCTTGGAAATTATTTAAATCCTCTATTCGCTAAGAGAGAAAAAGAGGAAGGAAGAGAGGATTAATAATGACAAACTAAACATTAACATTAAATATGAAAAATAAACATTGTCAGAGTGTTGCTGCCATAATTATTTACATTATACATCTAAGAGAAAACACTTTGATAATTATTGTGCTTAATATATGTATACCTATACGTTTTAAATACTTTTTGATATTTTGAAATAAAAGCTGGTAGAAATACATTTTATCTGCGCTCATTTCGATCAGTCGCTATCTAATTTTAACGGCTAATACAAATCCTTTCCGCACACCTTGTACATAGCAGGCATATATTCCCGGACAGTTTCCGTCACGACGCTAAACTTCGGACCGCGCTCGCCTGTGGTTTCAGTTTGTTTCAATCGCTCGTACAAGTCGGACGTGTTTACGCTTGCGCTCCTTCGCACGCAACGCCAGTCACACGTATACACACGCGTTCGCACGTACGTAGACCGATTTCGCGACTGGTTCGTGACGATAAACTTCGGAGTAGCTTCTTCAATCAAGCGCAGCCGCTCGGAAACATAGTGGATTAAAAAAAAAAAAAAAAAAAAAAAGAACTCGAAAGTCGTAAGCGTGTTCAAGCCCCATCGCGCTACGTGCTTCCTAACAAACGTCCACGTGTCGCATGTCGATACTTTCCCCATTTTTTTCGAGGTGAGTAATGTAACATTTCGCCGACTAACAGAACATTTCTCATTTAGCATGAATATAGTCATAGTGTTTGCTATTCAATCTTGAGAAACCTCAATTGCTTTTGTAATGAAGTTTAGAAGGCATCTCTCAGAATTAAGCGACGAAAGAAGTCCAAAGTTCACTGTGTGTCAAATGATTCTGTGCTTCTTTCTAGTTTTCCCAGAGAGAGATAATGTAACAATTAAATTCTAATTAGCTTTAGCTTGCGGGAATGGGGACAGATCGTATATAAATAATAAGTTTTTTATTTGTTTATAGTTTTATCGTATGCATATACTATATATATAATCGTGTATTATCGAAAAAAAAAAAAGAAATTTGCGAAATTTATTTGCTACCGTAGTGATATTCCTGAATATAACTGTTTACATAAGTCATTTAATCAATATCATTTAAATAACTCTGCATATATCAACATTGTCAATTATTATTCAGAGGCAGAGATCGTTTATTATAACTGTTTCCAAACCGCTGCAATCAAATATTAATGACTAAAGCTGAAATAGATAATTGATTTAATTACCGAGAAACATCATGAATGCATTTATTATCACTCATGAATGCTCTAATAAATGTAAATTAATACAAAATCTGCACCATGCTTTTTATTCGTTTTAGACTTTAAATCTTAAAAAAAAAAAAAAAAAAAAACAATTTTCTCTTCATATAGAATTTAATTTTGTTGAAGTATAAATTTTTATAAATGATTAGCAATACAAAAAAATTCTCTCTGTTAAATGAGCAAATGAAGAACTAGGTGAAATTAAACACTGTCAAAAATTTCCGAAGTTACGTAAGAGAAATTCGTCGAAAGAAGTTATGCAAATAATGCGACAAACACCTACGGTCTCCTGCCCGTGGTTACTGTACGCAATTCATCGCGTCAATCAGCGAGCTTTGAGCTCGCGGAAGCTCGTCGTTCTCATTTCGATGACACTCGAACCGCGGACTCGGAACTCGTTGACGCCAATGGAAAGCACATGAGTCAGTGAGGGAAAACATGTTTACACTTTAATGCGTAATCATATGTTGATCATTTTGCCGATAGATTACGACGCAAGTCCAACGAATTGTATACGCTATAGAAATGTGTTTGTGAGTACTTTGCATCTGTGTCAAGGTACCACAACAATTTTGCGAGAGATATAACTCGTTCGATGATACGATAAATAAAATATTTTGAACGTGAATATTTTGGAATTGAATCACTGAATATTCAAATACTTGAGAATTTTTATTATCCTTGTTTATTAGATTTTCTAAAGATTTTTACGTTGCCTTTAATTAGTTAAATCACAAGCACGGTTTATTAAATTATTATTTAGAAAATAATTATTATATCGTTGAATATATTTTGTTAAATTATATTTAGTAATTGTGATAAATCGTGGATTTCTTGGATGCTATGTTTTGATAGTATTACGCGATAATTTGACGATTGTAATATAATAATGCGATTAATAGCATGTTGGAAAAAAAATGAATGGGTCAATAGCAGAAAAATTTCTTGCATGCACTCATTGCATAATGTCTTCATTGGCTGCGCGTGCAGGTGGCTCGGGACAGCTGTATAGCTTCGTGTTTCCTGCGCTTTGATCTTATTTCGGTATAAGAAGCGCTGAATCAGCGAAGCTCGAGGCTATTGCGACTTGCGACTGACATGCCAGACTTTGTATTCTGAGAAGTCTGGGTCACGAGAAGACCTATTTTGTAGAAAAAGAGCGGTACATAAAGAAGTACAAAGCTTTTCTTCCTAAGAACAGTACGAAAGCTAATTCAGAATGAATTAATACCGCTTTTGCAGATAAGACAATTGACGTATGTACTTTAATTAATTGTCGATAAATATGTACTCTTCATTGTCTGAAAAAGTTGATTAAATTTTTAGAATACTTGAATTTTGGAGCACTTATTAGTGTCCAATAGTTGATGAATGAGAATAAATTTCAAGACTTTGGCATTATCGAATATTTAGCTGTTTTGTCTTTTCTTGTATTTCTTTGTTTTACTCTCTATTTTAAGAGTTAAAATTTTATCTTTGAAATTGAGCATCCGAATGCCCTTACTGAGAAGACGTTCGAAAATAAATGCCACCTCGCAATTGTAAATTCAGTGCCAGGTCCACGGTCAAAGAAATTCACCTGGACGAAGGCCAGTCGCCACCGCCCCTGCCTCGTCCGGATATTCTACTTTTGAAATCGTAGATCGGCGATGTCGGTCACGCGAATTCATTTCGATATCAAAACAGCAGGTCACGAGACTCCGCTGTTTTCTCTCGCTTCCGCGATAGTATATACCGCGGGAACGTCAACAACACGAGGTATTGACTGTCAGCGAAAAATAGTTTCAGCGTGTGTAAAGATGAGGTATACCGAAGAATATTGGACATATATCGAAATCTCAACGTGGTACTGAATAACCTAGATTACGCTTATAGACGAGAAATACGCCAGCGAAAGAGCTTGAACATAAAAATGCATTTTCGCGTGAGTTTGATATCATGTTATTAAAATGAGACATAAGAATTATGAGGAAGAGAGAAAAAAAGCTGCTTCTGACACCTTCAATTTTCTCAAGAGATGAAGCAAGCAACTGCACACTTAATAATTATATTTAATTACCGAGTATTATTAAGACACAATTAGCGTCAACTATATAGATTTTTCGCAACGTTAATGTTAGAAAGCTATATTACCGCTGTAATTTCGCGGACAGATCGGATGCCAGTTTCGCGCGCACTTGTTCGCACGCAACTTATTATCATTTTCAGGATTTTCGCGAAAACCAGTTACGCCGGCAATTTAATCGTTTTTACGCGACGTTTATTACAGGCAGCGCGATTTTTAGCAGCAGGTTACACGGAGAACGGGAGAAGTAGCGGCTCTCGCGGTTACTTCACGTTCGAATTACTTTCGCTGCGCGAGTAATAGCCCGCTCTCTGTCTCTCCCATGCACGAGGCGATCATGCGTGGACTGCGAACAAAGTTACGTAACGCACGTGCCATGCTATGCCACGAACGAACTCGGGGAGATCGATGCACTAGCGCGAAAAAATCGTACGTCATTGATCGGAAAATTAGCCCGTCGAAAAAAAAACCGCTCTGTCTGCCAGCGATGATCTCCGCGCATGCAACGCGATACGAAGAATGATTAATCGCGAGAAATACCGGCGACACAGTTAATCACCGGTGCATGCTTGCCGAGTGACTGCACGGGGCAACGGTCGATGGAATTAATTTCGCGATCTCGACGGAGGAGGTATCTTAATTATAAAGCCGAGTTTTTTGCAACGTGTACCGCGCGAATCGCGATCTACATTTTACAGAACCGCGAATTTTACGGTCGGTGATTGCTAAAAACAGGTTATTTTTCGACGGAATGTCTCGAGTTTCAGGATCGAAGTCTGTAATTAATATGTCTGTAGGTAATTTGATGTAATTTTGTAAGTAAGATTTCTTAAGTTACATTTGTACTAAGCAAAACAAAGATATAAATTTAAATTAAAGACGTTAAAGACGTTAAAGATATCGCTTTGCGATGTCTTTTTTATGATTATATATATACATATATATACACAAGACTTTGACCAGCTTTCAGCAAACGATGATTCACGGTACACCGAAGATAAAGAGCACCTGTTTTTATGTCACGTATTTGTCATAAAAAATTGCAATGTCATTCTTCCACAAAAATCTCTTTCGCAAAAATTTGCTTCTTACGTTTTTAACTTTTCTCGAATTGTTTTTCATATATTTATTTCTCTTTTTCATATCTTTAGTTTATAGTATTGTTTTGCTTCTATTATCAACGTTGCAATAAATAATATTTACAGCTGAATAACAAACGAAACTGTTTGAAAACGACTCGTTCAAACGATTTAACAATGATTTGTCACACACGAAACTTCAAGGCTTCGCGTTTTAGATATGTCTCGCTAGAATTTTGGCTGTTTGCCGAATGCCTCGGAAAGTCATCGCAATATATTTGCGGTTTAAGCAGACAGATATAAGGTTGCATAATAAAATTGTTGGGAGACGTCGTAGGTCAGTGCACCGAGGTAAAAGAAAAAATATTTGAGAACGCGGGTATCTGGGTATATCCGCTGATACCGAAGCGAATTAAAAGTTCGCGTGCTTCCGACAATTGTCGATTCGTTTAACGAGAACAATCGCTCGCCTTCGCCATTTGGCCATAGACATGACAGCGTATTCTCGTTAGGCGATCGTCCAAATGTCTAAACTTGCATTTTGTCTTGTTTCGAGAGGAGTGCGAAGTTCATTTCACCGATCAAGCTTTTAATTCGTAATTGCTCGCGTAGGCGTGACAAACTGCACGGTATAATTAATGTTGCAATTGTTGTTTCATTATCTTATTTCGTTATCTTACGTACAGTAGCGAATTTCAATATGTCAAGCCTGAGATACGACATATGTATAAGCGAGCTCTTTATTTAAACATTCAATTATGAGGATAATCATAATCGTAAATCTTTTCGATGGATCTTTCTCTATCTACGCAGCTTTATGATTTACGTAGATATTTTCGAGACCAGTAAACATTTTGCAAGTATCCATTTTCTATAAATATCCCGAGCGATTCGCGAAATATCGATTTGCCTCGTTTCGGACCAATCGATAGATATTTATTATTTGCACTTATTAATAGGTGCTCGAAAGCCCCCATCGACGATAGAACGCAGACGTTAACGAGGTTTCCATCTGTCACGTCAAAGCCACGAGTGGACAAATAGACAGATGTCACGTCGCGCGTCGGAAAGTTCCAAATATATGTGCACATATATATATGTCTAATTTCGCGAAAATATTCAGCTTTTTGAAACCAATCCAGCTGTCAGGTTGAGTCCTTTGTCTCTCTTTCTCTCGCGGTCTGCTCATCTCTGATTGCGCAATATTGAATAATCTTGTCAAATACGTTCACAAAGATGTACGCTTCCGCTTTAATCTCTGACGACGTAAAAATGTGATTGTGACGTAATTCGAACGTATTTATCCATACAATTTACATGCTACTTATACATGAAGGAAATAACATAATTAAATTATTATTCAATAATTACTCAGTGAAAACAGCAAGGGTTATAAAAAAATGTCACGAGACGCGTTGAGAACCTCTGAAACTTTCTTACTCGCCGGTCAAAGAGGTGAATCTCTCTCGTTGAGAAGACGAGAGGGACTGGTATACGAAGAGCTTGCATACTTCCTGGGAGAGCGTACGATCGCGCGGTAACTTTTACGGCTCTTGAACGACATCGAGAGACTTGGATTGAAATTTCAGCCGGCGAACTTTTCACGAAGGTTACGCAATCTATATAAAGTCGATTTAAACTTAAATCGCAATTTCGAAATTACGCAAGACGACGATCGCTCGTATCTCAATGTTTAAATGCATATTACCGCGGTCTGTTTACTATTTTGCCGCGGGTAATTTTAATATCTTTAAGGACAGCTTTAAATTAGAATAAAATGTAGTGCGAGAGTCACGTGCGTTCTCGAGATCGAGGCGAGCAACACAAACACTCGCTGTATATGCAAATGCAAAACAACACAAGGACACCATTCTCGTTTTGGACGAATGCGACTCGATTTTTTGTTTGCACGGGCTCGGTGACAAATCGAGAATTGCAAAGAAAATATAAGAGTGTATTTTCGTAAAGGGCGACGCAGATAGTAAAACAATTTGCACGTTGCGGGCGCGCAGGCCGGTCCTGTTGCTGCGTTTCACTCGCGCGTGCAACCTTCTCTTTTACGCAAGCCCCAGGAAAGTGATCGACGTTTTTGCGCCGTTATTCGCCAGTCGAAGATAAACTCAGCTCGTGCCTCGTAATAACGACCGTTGTTCTCGCGCTCGAATTAAGACCGCTGGCGATTAGTCGTTTTTATCACGTTTTCACTTTCCCGCTTCTTGTATGTTAAATGGAAATTTTATCAGTGAACTTCGTGCTTAGTGGATAACATTGAAATGTCGGATCTGAATGAGATATCAATCTGCATTCGTTGTTTATTGCGATCGCGTGCAATAACTGTATATAGCTAATGACCGCGAGATACGCGGGTAAAAAATCAGATAACAATTCGCATCGCGAAAGATCGGAAAATATAGTCAATTACAATTAAGAGGATGATTCGGATTTAACGCATCTCGCGAAAACAAACCGCTGCGGTACGTAAAAAAATGACGTGGGCTATTCAGCGAATTATGTATTGCGAAATCATTACGTGGCAAAAAACGTAGACGTTCTTACATTGATATTGATGAATAATAACATTTTTTTCTAATTTACGACTCACCGTACGACGAGATCTCTGTAAACATCTGAACCGCCTGCATCGCGACGAGAGGCCTTTGAGTTCTCGTACCAACAATTGTTCACATACACGAGCGCGCGGCACATTCACGATCGCGAAAGCTGCACAAAAAAGGATGAACGATGCCGTCATTAAACCTTGACAATGTTAGGCTACATGCGACTTGCGTCGGCGAACAAAGTACAACGTTCATGATTTTTGCATTGCGCTCACATCAGCCGCCTACGCGTGGCTCGACAATCAGTTGGCGGCCAAGTGAATGCAAAATGTTTGCATTTCCTTTTTTACTCATGTTCTTTAAGGACATAATCATTTAAACATTAATAAACAGCGAATTGCTACCTGGTAATTTTGAAATCCGTATGCAACTAAACATTCCGCGTGATATTAATTTTATTGATTCTAATTCTCGTTCTTTCTCTCTCTTTCTCTCTCACTGTCTTTCTATAATCCTCAGATCGAGATCTTAAGTAAATGATAAATAAACGACAAATAATATTAAAATGGGTTTGTATGGAAAATTAAAGTTCTCACATTATTCTTTAATGTAAAAATACGAAATTAATCTGTGAATACTTGTTAAAATTAGCAAGACATTAATAATATATCGATATTATTCATCTTTTAATATCTTTTCTATAACGAGAAAGGAATAATACCTTCAGTATGTTCATAATTCAAATACTTATTCAAAAATTAGCTTAGGACGCTAATTATTCATCTTTCAATATTTTTTCTGTGACGAGACTGGAATAGAATTTAGAAATGTAGAACGTGAGAAATGAGAACGTTAATACTTTGCTCAAAATGATCTAATTGTAAGCGAGAGCATATGTTATTAAGCGCTTGTTTCTATATCGTTGATGTTCTATAATAAAGATTTGCGCTATTTTTAACGGAATTACATCGAGGCAGACGCGGAACGGAGATGATGACTACCGCAACGCGTTTGCTTTGTGCTTCCTTCAAGTAGGTCGCCGTGCAGTCTGCTGTGTCATTCATATCGGGCATTCTACGTGAAAAGAAGACGTGGCATCTCGCATTCATATAGGTAGCGACCGAAAGAAACTATCACGGAAGGAAATCACGCGATATTCATTTACCGCTTCTTATGAATATTCTAAATATAACTCGGCTTACGTGACTTCGGGATTGAAACCCAGCGATTCAGCGTTTCACGATCTAAGGCCGATAAAACTACCACGCTATTTAGTCCTCGATAAGCCGGAGGTTCGTGACAGACAACGCGTCGCGGAAAAATCTCGTTTATATCAATGCCACTAATTGCCGCAATACGGCTGGCCTCACTGACGCCGTTAGTTAAAAATTTTTGGAGCCAATTTTGAAAACTAAAAAAAGAAACATAAATAAAAAATAGAAAGAGTACAGTTTAAAGTTTAACTTTAAAGGTTTTCAAATTACACATGTAAATAATATTTTTTAATTTACTCGATATTATCATGGGGAGGCCGCGTCCCCCTCACTCTTTCCCACTAACGACGTCCGTGCTGCCTTCGTTCTCCGATTAATCGGGGGTCGAGAGATGATCAAGCTTCGCTGCCATGTTTGCCAGGACGATTTCTCCGAACTGGCGATTAGCCAATTCTGCCTTCCGCTTATTTAAACGCAACGACTATTAAATTATGATCCAACGATTAATATAAAAAATTATTTTTTTCTGATGAATCTCTCTCACGCAATTGTTCTTCTTTTCCAAACGAATAAATCGAACAAAATAATTGACGATTTTGCCCAGCGTGACGTCGATCGTAACATTCATTCGGTTGCTTTACAGAAATACAGAGGCTTTTGCGCGTCTTCGTTCGAACGAGAGCGACTCGTTGGGCACGACTAAAATATCTCGCGATCATATTGATCGTCGCCGCTTCCGGCTTGATTATTTCTCGACTTCTGTCCGACGGGATTGCCCCGTCGGGCACGACCGAAATAACCCGTGATCTTACCTAATGGCCATTAATGGCGCGAGCCCGCCCGGTTCTCGAGCGTTAGGTTCCCGTGAACTTCGGCCCGTCCGCGCGGTTGCCGGGCTTCGCTGAATGCCGATGACGCTGAATGACGCGTCACGTCGTCGGCCTCCGTCATTCCGTCGGATATCTCACGCGGGGGGACCAGCGATCGACGGAGATTTACGCGGCCGCGACGGACGTTCGATCTGGATCGCCCCGACGAAACGAACGGCACAATGGCGCGGAAACCGTTGACGACTGGCCCGTTCCAATTAATTGAGCGTGAAGTTCGCAGATTTCTTATGCGACCGAAGTTAACGCTTTGAGCCGCCGCGGCAACTTCACAGTTCGCACCGCGGCGCCGAATTTTTTTCCCGCTGCACGGTTAAATATTGAAGGATGTTTAAAGCAATATCTTGAGTTAAATAATATTTTGTTATTTTTATTAGCTTCTAACTACCATGTCGAGATTTATTATTTTAACTTCATTGATTTAGTTAAATTAACGACATATTGAATAGGAGCAGTGGTGATTCCTATAGGAAATGGTTATAAAAATGAATCAAATTGAGTATAATTTGACACTACGAATTTAACAGGGTGTTTGTAATTTTCATTCAAGTTTTGAGAGTAGATCAACCAATGTATAGATAAATCAGAAACACAAATAATTTATCGAATAACACCTTTAATAAAATTTCATATTAACAATGATATGCCACTAAAACTTTGACTCTCATTTGATTCAATTTTAGGTATATAGTAAATAATACTGGGGCAAAATTTTTACAGACGCGCGTAAAGGCTTAATCATTTTTCCGTATAAGTGAATTTTAACGACGCTGGATAACATTACGTCGAATTTCTGGTGATAGCGTAATCGCTTTACGAGATTAAAATTCAAGTCCGCGAAATCTCGTTACGGAATCGGGACATAAAGGCTGATTTATAGAGGCCGTAACCGTTAATTTAAGCCGTAATCTTTAAGAAATTGACCAATCACAGTCGAATGTGAGAAGAACAATCGACTGTGATTGGTCAATTTCTTAAAGATTACGGCTAAAATCAACGGTTACGGCCACTATAAATCAGCCTTAAGACGTCTTAAAGATGTCATTAAGACGTCCTTATGTCTTGATTTTGGACATTGCGCTGTCTGGGTCGTCCCGTGGAGAATCAAGACCGATCGCGTTTTTTTTCCGTCGGCAGACGGAGAGAAACACGGGCCGACATATATTGCCGAGTGTCGGAAATTGCCTCGGACAACGGAGCGGATATATCGCTCGCTCATCGCGCTCGGAGGCGAGGCTGATCGATGCCGTGGCACACGGGCATGCGAGCGCACAGGTGGGCATAATGTCACGTTTCTTTGTTCCAGGCGATCCGTGCCGGGAGACGTTCTAACGTATTCGAAACGCGCGCCAACGTCCGTCGGCTGACCACGTGGTACGCGTCGCCGTATCGACCACCGGTGCGGCCGCCGCGCCGATTGGCCCGGCCGAGGGACACGTGACCGCGCGCAACGTCAGTTCGGACCGCCGTCTGCTGGTCTGCACTTGTGTCGGGTCGGGCCTACACTTGTCAACGTACGTTCGACGGGGGAACAAAGGACGGCCGCGGAGAGACGACCTTCTTCGCGCTGCGCTCTTTCGCGCTCTTTCGTCGGCGTCTCGCGTTCAGATCGTCTCCGTTCGTCGTTCTGCGTGTCGCGTGTCTCGATCCTCGACGCAGCCGACGGGGATTCGCGCACAACGTCACGGTGCTGGAGCAGCGCGTCCCGTGAGACCCATCAGGCGCTTTTGACAGCTCGCCGTCGCCGCGCGTGACGGCGTCGTCGGCGGCGGACCGCGGCCGGCTGAGTTTCGTCGCAACGACGGTGTCATCGGTGGCTCGAGGGGAGATCGGACGGGGAGCCGTCGACGAGTCGCGACTCCGTACAAATCCGCCGGAGCGGAGTAGTCTCGATCCTCTTCGCGGCTCTTTGCGTCTCCGTCTCTGTCTTTCTCTGGCTCTCTGTCTCTCTCGCACGCGGGAGACCTTCGGACTGAAGACAGCCGCGAATATACGTTTTTTTCGCCTTTCGCCGCGCCGCGAATTTCGAACGACTCCCACCCTTTGCCATCCGCGGCCTGCGGCGCGCGGGCTTAGGAGATGTACAGCATGAACTATATCGCCAAGATCATCAGCAACTTCCGCCTCTTCTACAACGAGATCAACGCCGCGACTCTCACCGGCGCGATCGACGTCATCGTTGTCGAACAACCGGACGGCTCCTTCACGTGCTCGCCCTTCCACGTCCGCTTCGGCAAGCTCGGCGTGCTACGTTCCCGAGCGAAAGTGGTAAGTCCCCTCGAGCACTCGCACTTATTATCGGCGGTTTATCGCATAAATGAGTACAGTGAGATTAGAGATCTGTTTTAAAAACAGTTATTTTCCTCGGCTTTGTATCAATCGGCATTTTTTTTTGAATTGTTATTAAAATATTTGATTATGATACTTATAACATTGTAGTGCTTACTTATTTATTATAATTGAACATTTAATATTTCTGTTATTAAAGTAATGTGCTGTTGCATATTAAAATAAATTATTTATCATTATTTGACGTTGTCCTTTTTAAGATCTCTTCTACACGCCATTCTTGTCTTGTACATTTATATTTTTATTATGTTGAGATAAAAAATGAATATTGTACAAGAAAGTTATTTTTTTTATATATAAAGCTTTAGATACATATGAGAAATATTTTCATAGGTGGACATTGAGATAAATGGAGAACCTAGGGAAATTCACATGAAACTTGGAGATTCCGGCGAGGCGTTTTTCGTAGAAGAAGTCAGCTCAAGTGGATCTCCAACGGATACCGAAATTCCGCCGCATCTTGCCTGCTCTCCCATACCCGACAATTGCTTCCCACCGGCAAAATTCAATCTGTTGTCGGATCTGCCTCAGGAACAGAGAGAGAAGATCCTTGTAGACTCGGTTCTGTCCATAGAGCGAGAGAAATGGGAGCAGATGTCCGCCTTGCCGCCCGATCAACGGGAAAAGTTTCTGATTGAACAGTTCTCAGATCTTCCCGCGGAACATCGCGAGAAATGGCTTCAGATCGCCTCGTTGACTGTGGAGGAACGGGACGAGATGTTTAAGGAAAGCTTCGGCACCATATCTCCGGAGCAGAAGCAACAGATGATCAGGGAACAGTATTCCGCTTTGAAGATGGAGGACAAGGAGAGATTGTTCAAGGAAAATTTTCCAGAGCTTTCGATCGAGCAGAGGCAAAACTTCGAGAGAGCTTTATTGAGTGACTGGAAGAAGAAGGAAGAGAAATGGGATGAGAAACACGACAAGAACGAGGACGAGGAGATATTTGATATGGACGTTATTAATGACGAGCAGCCGAAATCTACAATTTGCCCAAAATCTTTCGTAGCTGTCACTTCGACTGAGAGAATTCGAAAGATCAGCGTGGTGAAGAATGATTTTAGACCAATTACGGATGACCCCCAAAGTAGTAGTAAGGAAAAGTCTAGCGACGAGTCAAATTCGTCTTTGGGCAAGAAGAATTTGAAGGAAGAAATTGTTGATGAGAGCAAGAGTAACAGTTCGACTAAGAGAAAACGCAAGAGGAAGAGTATCATGAGGAAGAAAGGCTCACAGAGGAAAACCAGCAATGGCAGTAGCAGCCAGACAGAATTGAGCGAGACTGATGCAGTATTTACCGAGGAATCAATTAGTGAGGCGGTAAGTATTTCAATGAGATTATACTTCTGTTATATGCCGACATACTTACTTATTGAAGATATTTAAAGGGGCCCACTCCAATGGCAGAGGATGAAAAGAAGAATGCTGCTGCGGAATCAACATCCGCCGATGCAGTTGAGATACGACCCGAAACCGATTTTCACTTCTTCAGTGACTCAGAAGTTACCAAGTATGTAATTTATATTTTTTGTTTACATTATTACTATACATGTACAGATATACTTATCGACTTGTTGTGATGTGTTCAAAAGAAATAAGGACTCCAGACCATCTTCACCCGTTCAATCAGACACGGAATTCGAAGTGCGTAAAATTACGCAAGACGGCAGCGAGAGGGAGGACGATAAGGCTCATCAGCAGAGTTGGAGATGGGGCGAACTGCCCAGTCCACCTCCAGAGCCGGCGCATATGTCGCATAGAAATTCATTGAGTTCTCTGACGACAACTAATCAGCCGAATAGTTAGTATACGATTTCATTACCTTAGTTTATAAATATCAAACTGTGTACACCGTTCATAATTAACATCACATTGTACGGTTCTAATTGAAAATGCTGTTATCGATCATTCATGTTTCGAGAAACTAATACGCCTGATTCTGATACACAAAATTATAAAAAAATTTAACAATTCGATATTGTAAAATTCTTAATCTTTTTTTTCCATAAAAAGCTAACTCAAAACGCTTGATCACTAACTAACCGTTCGCTAACCGCTTTTTTAATGGCAGAAGATGCACAACGATCTATGCTCAGTGGCATGTTCTCCTTTATGAAGAAGACTTCTCGCGTAAGACACAATCCGGAATCAGAAGGAATTTATCTTAGCGATCTTAATGCCGACGAACTGGACCCCGAAGTTGCGGCTTTGTACTTTCCCTCCTCACATCGAGGCCCGACGATGGTTAAAGGTATATGGTAAACTGGCTTTTGCTTCTGCATGTTAAAAGCGCATGTAAAGTGCATCAAAACTAACAGTAAATGAATTTCTTTGTATTATGAGTATTGAATTAAAAGCAAAGTGTTTTTTTGCATTTTTTCTGTTTTTGTTTCCAAAAATAAAATAAAATAATCTTGAAGCACTTAACGAATATTTTATGTACTTGGCGCGAGACACTACCGTGTCTCTTGATACTATTCGGTTTGTCTTTTTGCTTTCTAGGAATGAAAGGGTTTACTTTCAACTTTGTGATAGTAATAAGTAAAGATAAATGACTAACAAAGGTGTATTTGTAAATAAAATTTGGTTTTCGTTGTTTTAATTAACTAAATTGGTTGTGGTGTTATTCCGTGATATTGTTTTTCATATTTTGTGTAAGAGTACATAACGTATTTTATTACAGATGAAAAAACGGTGGATGAAGAAGATACAGAGTCGGGTAACGGGCCGAGCCTACCTCAGAGCCCCAACAGTGTTGAGGGAGCTATCGGTGGACCAAAGTCTCTGGATAGCGATTTCGAAGAACCAAAGCATCCTATTTTCGATAATAGCATAGAAATAAGTATGTCTCTGTGCGGTGGTTTGGACAGCGAAAATGGACCATCCAAGGAAGCTTTCAACGAAAATTTATTGCACTTCGAGGACATCTGTGCCGATCCAAAATTGTACGAGAATCCAAATCTAGTCGTAAAAATTAACGGGAAATTCTACAATTGGGCTACAGCTTGTCCGATAGTGTTGACCTACGTCGTTTTTCAAAGACATTTACCGCAAAGCGCGATCGAAAATCTGTACATGTCGTTGCCGGTACACGAGGATAAGAAGCGACAGAGCAGCGGCAAGCCCGAAAGTCGTAGTACATATAGTTCATGGTTTTCTTGGAGACGTTCCACGCAACCTCCTAAAAAACCGGAGGACGCTAGTCAAAGTAAGATTTTTCAAACTTTCAATTTTACCTAACAAACTTTCTATTTTACAAATAGTTATATTTATTTTGAAATTAAATTATATTAAAAATATAATTCTTTTATTTATTACAGACGACGAAATTACTGCGCAGTCATCTGAACAGTCTTTGGGTGCTAAGACTGTAACAAACGATGAATTACCGTCTACTAACAGGTAAGTCTCTCGATAGCTTTTTTCTATCCGATTTTTTTACATTCTTTAATTCTGTGTTCTAATTATATATTTACAGGGAAGTAAAGACTGAGCAAAACACAGATTCGTCAAGCTCAACCGAAATAATGGAAACTTGTACAAGATTGACAAGTACGTCGAACGAAACTGCGCTTACAAAGACTGAGAAAACACGTGAAGGAGAGGGCGAAGGATACAGCGGCGGTGAGGATTCCGATAGTAACCACAACGAACCAGCGGGTATTAAGATTCCTGTGGAAAGAAGACCGTATTACGAGTCCACGGAAAAGTATCGTAAAACTTTGCGACTGTCGTCTGAACAGATAGTAAGTATTTTTGTGTAGTTTCTACAGTTGCGTAAAGTATGAACAAAAGAAGTGATTGAGTTTCGATCTCTTTATAGGCGAGTCTCGAACTGAAGGACGGCGCCAACGAAGTAGTCTTTAGCGTAACCACTGCTTACCAGGGTACGAAACGCTGCAAATGCCATATCTACAAGTGGAAGTGGGATGACAAGATTGTCATCTCTGATATTGACGGCACCATTACGAAGTCTGATGTCCTGGGTCACATTCTACCGATAGTGGGCAAGGACTGGGCTCAATCCGGGGTTGCTCAACTGTTTACGAAGATAAAGAACAACGGCTACAAACTATTGTACCTCTCGGCGAGAGCAATTGGTCAAGCTGGGGGAACTCGGGAATATCTGAGAAACTTGAGACAAGGGGATCTGTCGCTGCCAGAAGGCCCGTTACTTTTGAATCCTACAAGCTTGATCTTGGCATTTCATCGCGAGGTGATAGAGAAGAAGCCGGAAGAATTTAAGATATCCTGTCTGAAAGATATTCAAGCGCTATTCCCTGAAGGATCTTCGCCATTTTACGCCGGATATGGAAATCGCATAAATGTACGAACGATAAATCCTATTTATCGATTATAAATTAATTTGAGATGAATGATAAACTTTTTGTAAAAATTATATTAGAGCAAATGTAACATGTAAAATATATTTTATATATGCAGGACGTGTGGGCGTATCGAGCAGTAGGCATTCCTATAATGCGGATCTTTACCATAAACTACCGAGGAGAATTGAAGCATGAATTGACACAGACATTCCAATCTTCGTGAGTATTATTACATCATATTATTTATTTTAAAATATTTTTAAATAATGTTAAAATAATGTTTTTTTTCTGCGTCGAGGAATATATAACAACAGAAATCGAGAAATAAAAATATATATTTATTTGATTATTGCTCAAATAACAATATACGTAATAGTAATTTAATCACTTGTTTTTACACTTTAATACATTAAATTCTTTTTCTGCTTTGTAGCATTTTTTTTATCTGTTAATTTTTTTCTATTTGTGATTTTTTAAATGCTGTATTTTGTGCTTCTAAATACCCTACTGTATTAATCTTGAGCAATGTGTACTAACTTTAAAGCAGTGGTTATTTGCAGATGGCATTTAACATATTATTGCATGTATTTTTAATTAATTTTTATATCTACTACTTACTAACAACTTTTATGATCGAGAATATTTCTTTTAAATATGCTAAAGGTAAAACTGTTAACAAACTGGAAGCCGTTTTTCTTACTAAACAATGAAAAGGTTTGAGCGTTAAAAATGAAGTTATTGGTTGAAAAAAATAGAAACACAAGTTTTTCAGAGGGTATTGATAGGTGGGATATTTCTGTGATTACAGTTATACGCGTCAGTGCAATATCGTCAATGACTTGTTCCCGCCGCTTATGCCAAACGTCTACTGATGACACAACCATAAATTTTAATAGACGTATTAATTAAATTGAATTATATTAAAGTATTATACAGTAATGCCGGTGACGTATCAGGCTTTCATGCATTATTGCGTTATGTTTGGGACATTGCCATGCATAATTTCGCTACATTTCCTGATAATTGACATAGTACAAAGTTAAAACACACATTTTATATACACTGTAAGTACACACGAGTGATAAGCTATCAGGAAAGCTTATTTTCAGTTATAAACATTTAAATGTGATACGTCGGACGTAACCGTAATTAGATATGTTAATATTATATTTTGGAATATATTTGGTTGTGCGACAACTCCTACTTATCTTCTTATGATTTATAGGGTAAGCACTTGTTTTGTACACATTTGCTTTCTTATCACTGCTTGATATGCTTTGATTTTTAGCCATTTCTAACATCTCGTCATTGGGATATATTTTCCATTTGTTTCTGGCAATGGGGAAGGGATGGTATTAATGATTTATAATTCATAACTTATTTGAGTGTATAAGTGAAGAAAATGTTTATCGCGCCTCTGTCAAACTCATTTTATCTTTTATTTGCTTATCGTATCATAATTTTTCAACCAAGCACTTCATGATTGCTCTCTCATAAACTGTGATTCTGCCATTCAAACATTAATAATATGATTCTTATAAACTAATTATAACTTATAGGCTGTGTGTAAATACTACGTGTGGGTTCTCATTTATATCGATTTTCCTCTGCAATTGATCATAACTTATACGATTTTTTCATTTTTATTCATTTTTATCTTTACAATTTATATTATATATGTTTCTCGTCAATCTAATCTTAGATTTCTTGTATGAACTGTATATATTTTAATCCAACTCTCTTATTTAATGTATGTACATATTGCCACACATATCATACATTAACAGTGTACGTGTTAAGAAAGATTGAGATTGATAAAATTCATTGCAGTTTTTTAATCGATTTACATTACATATTAATTCGTCATGTTATAAAAACGAGCTGTAAACGCCAATTAAACATTCATTTTTCAGTCATACTGACGGCACAAGGATACGAACGTGTTTGACACGTGCTCTCTGCAATTTTTGTTTATTCTCTCATTGCAGGTATTCAAACATGAGCTTCATCGTCGATCACGTATACCCGGCACGGCGAGAAGACGCTACCGATGAATTCAGCAATTTTGCATACTGGCGAGAACCGATACCTGAAGTACCGAAACTCGAGGAGCTCTACACTCAAGCTCAAGCTACCTAAGAAACTTCCTTTATTCCGTCATTTTCTTGAACTACGAACGACGATTATCATGTTTAACTAACTTTTATACTCTGTGCGTCGTAGTGACTTTGACAGGTGTGATTGTCTATAATACGTCTGGAAAGTCTCACTATTTCTTTGTATATTGGATTTGTTCTTTAGATATTAAGTAATTATTTGTAAAAAGATCCAGAAGAGAGATTGCTTATATACCTATAAAAGTTATGTATAATATATATATTGTATATATATGTTATATATACATTTATAATAATTAACTTATACATATATATGTATTTGTATCATTTATATGGAAGAATAAGTTTTATTACATATGTGATTTCTCTTCGAAAAGATTAAATTTCATCGAGATATGCGGCTAAACATTCCAGCTTTATTACATTTAAGTAACGAGAGATCTTTGTGTTAAATAATACCAGATACATTCTATGTCTCAGTCGGACTTAATCACACCAGTCAATGTACACGGCGCGCCTAGAAACTATAATACACTATAGCTACGTGCTTTACAGTGTAACTAACAGCGAGCCTTGTATCGCGCACTATACTTCAGGAGTCTGCAAGTTGTCCCAAATGGTATCTTTTGTCAGAGTCGGTGTAGAATACTCTTTGAAAATGATTAATTGGGAGTTTCTTAATCTTTGTCGCCTAGCGTGAATCGTCTATGTATTTGTGGCTCCTGCTAGAGAACCTCGCTTGTTACTGCACACGTGCAAGTTTTATACGAGCATATAAATTGTCTGCGTACATGCCGTCAGTTTTCTACATTGAAATGCGTTGGAATTTCGCTTAGCAATTGATAGTAAGATATTCTTCTAGGACGTAAGGTGCATTAGCAGGCGGATAGTTAAGTGTTTACTGCTTACGTTTCCTACTTTTAGATAGTTATAATTTCAGAGAGCTATAATTTATTTTTGTATAAGATCTTGATTAAGTTAGTGTGCTGTGAAATTGCCATATCTTCAAAATGTTATCATTTACATTGTGATATTCTGATCAAACTAGGGATTATTAAGTAGATAACGGATACAGACATGGATTTCCTTTGAAAATATTTTTGTTAAGATAATCGTACGAAGTACGAATCCACTCTGTACTTCCGTAATCCGTACGTGACCTAATTTTTATTTGCTATTTAATTGTTCTCTTCTCAATATCACGGTTGTCCTCTAATCAAATACATTCTCGCTTTTGGTCTTTCATATGTTACCTAAAATATTTTTGACATACATAGATTAAGTTATCATTATTGTTTTAATTCGGTTAACGTTATGTAAAAATAATGTTGACGGATTTCACTTCTCGAGTCATGCGATTGAAGCAACAAAAGTACAACTGTATCCAACCAAAGAGGATAGAGTTATATTCGCAATAGATTATGTCTTTTATTACGTGATAATGCACTCACTGTAGGACAACGAGACAGGAAAATTGCAAGAACAAAGTACCAATAATTTTAAAAGCCTCTTAATTTAGACAAACACGGCACAGATTGACAAAGGAATTTATGACAAAAAGAAATATTGTATATATTTTGTAATACTGATTTAGAACAGACTTTAAATTAACTATTATTTTAACTATTATTTAACTATTATATGATGCGATATAATGTTATACTGTAAATTTATAATTGTTTAATATTTAATTTGTAGTATTTATCTATTTTGTTAAGCATTATTTTTGGTACAAATATATTTAGTCAGTCTGTTTATAATTTCCTTTACTCTGTTTTTTTTTTTATATAATTTGTTATACTACCATGGTATAATCATTCTTCGCAATAATAAAAAGTATTTTCCATTTTTTAATAAGAATCTAGAATCGAACAAATTGGAAGTAACGCATAATAGTAATGAATATATTGATGTAATGGTAATTATTAAATGCGACATCTTTTTACCGAATAATCTAATTTTTACAAATGGAAATAATGCATATAGAGATTATTATGGGACAGTGTTAAAAATTTATGTTATATAAGCTGACACATGTTTACTAAGTTTTTCATGTCAATAATAGTATCACACATTATACCTGTAAGATGATCTCATCGTAATGCAACCTGTTTTATTGAATTTAGTTTACTTAATTTTCGTCTCTTAGCAGTATTAGCACATCCCTAAACTTCTACATATAATAAATGTATGACCTGTACCCTTTGGAATCGTAAATAATAAAAATTATGAAAATGACTACTTCGTCACAATCACAATTATGATTACTTTGTAAAAATATCAATAAGAATTCTTGAATTGATCACATAACGATATATTTTATCATGTAGGAACCAAGATATTTTATGTTCATATTACAAACAATGTCTTATTAATCATTTTTTATACTGCTGCCATAAATGTTTTTGTACGTGAAACATAATATGTATATATTAGAACGACTTGTAGAATCTTCTTTTTATTGACGTTTCACTCGGCCAACAAGTTTTAATCTGAAATATTTAACATCTTATATCGCATATTTATCATAATATGTTTCATAGATCGTTAATCACGCTGTGCATCCAGGATCTCTTACACGCAAGTATTTCAATAATTTCAACAGTTATGTACCTCACGTATTTTTAATCTTTGTATATTTTTTCTTCTAGTACCTTCATTATCTGAATGCTCTACGGATTCAATAGACGATGTACTGTGCCTCTTAATAGAATCGAAATCGAAAACTACTTTGGGCGTATTGTTATCGGCTTTGTTTGGCGACCAGTACCAATGATATATGGCCTAAAAATATTGTTTGAAACATGACGAATGAAATTATTATGTATAGAAAAATGCGCGATAAAAATTCAGTACATGTGATAAAAATTCAGACAAGAATTTCACAGATACGTCAAATTTCACTCACCCATAATATACAAATCGTCCAAAATGCGGTTAAAACAATTGGTTGCATATTTTAATTGATTAATATGAATTTTTATTTAAATATTTCATGAAATTACTTAAAACACTAAAAATTTTGACACGTTTAAATTACCAATTATTCAGTATTCGTTTGTTACATATCTTAAGCATTTAAATACAATTTCATGACACATAAAAATGTTTGCTGTTGAAGTTCTTTAAATTTAAACAAAGTGATTAGGGAAATAATTAAAAATAAGGAAATATATTTTTGTATAAAATCATATATACATATTCATTTTATTCTAACACTACAATATATATAAATTTCATGTATCATTGTTTTCCACGTCCATTTCTTCTTTATCTTCATCTTCATTCTCATTTGTGTCATCTGTTACTGTAAGTTTCTTAAAACCATGTTTTTTCGTATACACTCCCAAAAGTATCAGCTTGAAAACTGCTAGCGGTTTATCCAATAATTTCTACAAAATATATTGAAATTAATAGCTTCAATGTTTCAACGCATCTTGTGTCAAGAAAAAAAAAAAATATGCACCAAAATTTGTGCCTGTTCCGGTGTCAGGGTGTCACCCATCTGACAAACTTTGAACGGTTTAATCAAAGTAATAACTCCTTTTTGCAGCGACGTAGGCATACCCAACTGTCTCAACTGTGGTTCCATGCTATGCTGGAACTGTGGCAGAGGTCCTTCAGGTAACTCCACTGTTTCAGGTGTTACAAATCCAGAACGGGCATACTCCAGTTCTTCGTATTCCTCTGCCCATTCTATTACCTGTGCAAATGTATCGTTAACGATAAGCATAAGGAACCTTTTTTTTTTTTTTTTTTCCTTTTTTTGGGGGAAATTTCAAGATATATTTGTATAAATATGAAAACCTGTTTACCAAATTCTTGCTTCAAATTCAGTTAATTTATTAATAATATTATTTAAGTCTTTATATATTACCTACCTGTTTCTTTGGTCTGTTAGTGAATAACAGACCACACTGGCCATTCATCGAGTGATTCTTCATTGCGTTAGCCAATTTATGTATGCCTTCCGCAATCTCGGTTTCCTTTGATTTCCCTAGGCCTAGCGCAATTATTCTGAGTTTTCCAAAGAAAAGTTTACTGTCTTTCCATTCGGCACGTAGCTCAAGAAGCTTGGTGTTGCGTGTATTTTGAACAGAGATTAGAAATATATGTCTGTATTCGTCCACACATTTCTTAACGTCTTCCATGATCCGCTGCTTCAATACTAAACCCTTTCTATCGGTTTTAGTGAGAGAAACTGTAATAAAAATATTTTAATATATATATCATATATTTATGTTACACATATATATTCCTTTTAAAACAAAGACGTAAAAAATAACAGTTTTCAAAATTGTTAATTTATTACGATAAAAATATGCGATAAAATGTTAAACCGTGAAATTAAATTATTTAAAACTCGCTTTGGAGGTTAGTTGCAATCAGGCTAACCGCTTCTAAAGAACACTTCGTACGGAAATACGTGAAAAATATACGAGAAATTTTTGGGAAATTACTTTTCTTGTCTCTCTTCGATTTTGGCATCTTTGAAACTGGATTCCTTCACGGATTAAGAAAGTACAACAAAATTATTATTGATCAAAATTCACGCTTGACGTCCATGCGCTACCATGTGCTCACGCTCACATCCCATCATCCCACATCCCATCCCCTCACCTCACATCTCACATGCGATGTAAGTTCAGAAATTATACAGAGGACGCCACACGTAACGATTTGGAATAAATCGCAGTGAATTTCTCCCGTAATTTGACTGTTCAAAAGAGAAAATCTTTCGAAAATATCATGTGAAATTTTATATTATTTTAGATACTAAAAAACATTGTTTCTAATCTACATTTTTATAAAGAAAATTATTTTTTATCTTCCCTCAGAATAATTTATTTCTTTTTTACTAATAAAAAAAAAGACATTTATTAACAATTATTTAACAATTTTTTAAATATAATCTTTAAACCCAATTTTTCAAAATTTCGAGGGTAAGATGAAGACAAGACTTGAAATATAAAATACAATTCGATTAAATCTCAATTTGTTTATATTTATACGGCAATATTCGAGTCCCGTCGGGCTGAAATTAACGCTAGGCATAAAATGACGAATGTCATTAATCTTTGCCCAACTTTAAGTGCTTTTTTGCAGGAACGCGTTTCAGGAACGAGCGAACGAGCGATTCGAATCGTCGCGCCGCGGCGCGGCGGAAGCGGGCGCGCGAGCGCCCGGCAAGATGGCGGTTTCCGCTGGTCGCGCCAGTGCATTCAGCGAGAGCGTAGTGAACGGTAGCTGTTGAACACGTCGAGAGCCCGATTTCCCAGGCCGCTTACAGCACTCCGAAGGTGAGTCCGTCCCGTCACGCTGCCGTTCGCCACCCGCGACCGTCGCGGATCGCGTCCGGGATCGCGATCTGCCGCGGCCTCGCGGCGGATCGCGCGACGTGCGCCGCAACGCGGCCCGTGGCCCGTGTGGACCCCGTAGCCATGCCGCCCGAGTCCCGACGTCGTCGTCGTCGGGGCGGCCCGCGCCGCTCGGAATCTCGCCGCCGGTGATCGCTCCGCACGTTTCTCGCCTCCGTGGAGAAAATCGGCGAGATCGAGTCGAATCTCTGAGGGGAGGTTGTGCCCGGCGAGATGGTCATTTTAGCGAGATATGAGCGGCGGATTCGTTCGTTCTTTCCATCTCCTTCTATCTCTTTCTCTCTCGCTCCTCGCTCCCTCTCTCTCTCCCTCTCTTGGCTACGTCGCCGCGATCGACGGCCTGAAGGCGGCCGCTTGCCGCACCGATGACGCACGAGACGCCGTACGAGGAAGAGAGAGAGAGAGTGAGAGGGGGAGAGAGCGAGGAGTGCCAGTCGTCTCGTTCCTCGCGGCCGCCATGTTGCTTTCGCGACCGGCGACGAAATTCCTCGCACGTTGCCGGGCCAACTCGAGGAAATGATACGTCGCGGGGGTGCCACTGCGTGGCTCCGGATGGTTATCGGCCGGACGATAAGCGGGGACGATTAGAAGGTGATGATGAGGGGGGAGGGGGCGGGAGGGAGACGCCGGAGCTCGCTCGCTCACCCGAGCACTCGCATCGATCGCTTTTTTTTCCCTATCTCTATCCATCTCCCTCTCTCTCTCGCTCCGTCCGTCTTTCTCTCTCCCTCCCGAGATTCTTTTAACCCTTATTTACAGAACAGGTCCGTAAGAGTTATTATTCGCGATGTCGTAATGGTCTTTCGGCGCGGTTTAAAAATGTCCCTTGGCGGTTTCAGCGCAAGGTGGGCAGCGGCGCTAATTGCGCGGCGCCGCGAGAGGAGGAGAAGCGGTTCATCTCCTTATCGACGAGAGACGCGAGATTGATAACGCGAACGAGGAATTGTGCAGCCGAGGGCATCACGCGCAACGGCGGGCAGCAGGATTCGCGGAGATTTAGAGGAGGATTTCATTTTTGGCGGCGAGAGTCGCCTTTGAAAGGTTGCCCACCCTCGCGCTTCGTGCGTGCCTCCGTTTCTCTCTCTTTTTCTCTCTCTCTCGCGAGAGATAAACGGATAGATAAACGCGCGAAGCTGAGGTGATCCACGAGACAGGCGATCTATATGTGTCGCGGACGCATCTGTTCGCACGTAACTCGCTAACGCTTCTGGCCCGAGAAAGGCGCGCCGTTTATTCTGCGTTAATTTTTAAAACACCTGGATCTATTTTGAAAGTCACGCGGAGGAGATAAGATAAAGATGTCTCAATTTTTGCGACTGGGTACTCCGATTATATGAAAAAAGATTATCTCATTTCTAGAAGGAGATATTTGTTAATTGAATAAATTCTGTAAGCGAAGGGTGAACGACGAAGCCTTTCTCTCTTCATAAAATTACATTCTATATATATCTGTACCTTAAAGGTAAAGGATCGTATCTCCAGTTTTTTTTGTCAAAAAATTATTTTTTACATTTCTTAATACAACAGGAACTTAAATTGTATAATGGTAAAGCGTCTTATGTTTACTCCTAAGATACAAACAATATTTAGAAAAAGTCGTATTGAAAATTTGTATAGTGTCTAATTTTTAAACCAGATATAAACAATAGATATAAACCAGATATAAACATTTAAACCAGATAGATACAAACAATATTTAGAAAAAGTTGTATTGAAAATTTTTATAGTGTTTAATTTTTAAACCAGGTACAGGCTATTGGCAGTTGCACTATTAAACGTGTCGGTTAAATTACTTTATTAAAACCTTAATAAATCAAGTTGCTACTTTTATTTTATATCTGTAAAAATATATCGTTTTTCTATTTAAAACTTTAAACCTTGTTTTCTCGAAATGTTCAAAAATGGACATACGATCCTTTATTTCTAAGATACAGATACATATATATTTTATATACAAATCTATAAATCTATATCTCGCAACGAGCTCCTTAGCTTGGAAAAACAACTCGTTACTAGAAGCGGATGATATTACGTAATTACGTTCTCGCATTGATAGTTTGGCAATCGATACTCCGCCGCTGTCTATCGTTTTATTAATTTTTGCCATCCAGCTGCGCCGCGAATGGCGCAGTTGTTTTTCTCGCGTTAAGATAACGAATCTAGATGTTGGTAACGAGCGAGCGTAAAGTGGCCCCTCGTTAGGGATGTACGTTGGATGTATTGTCTTTGATATACGGCCTCGATACCACTTTGGCAAATCTCCCCACCCCTTCCCCTCTCAGGAGGGCTACGCTAATTCGCGATTTAGGTGTGTAATGAACGATATTATCAGATTACCTGTCCGCTACGTTCCCGCCCACCTTGCCTCTAGGTCATCGAACAGCCGGCGAGGTCTGGCTCTTTTCGCCAAGGCCGACACCCTCCGCCTCGCCCTCCCGCTTCCTCCACCTCGTCGTCTCCTCGTCTCCTCAGTCCTCGTGGATCGGCGTATTTGCGTAACGAGCGAAGACCTCTCCTACGTTCTGGAGGCCGCCGCGTTCCTCATTCTCGCAACAACTCGCGATTACTCTCTCGCCATTCATCCGTTGACGCGGTCTTACCGATCGATCGCGACTTACCTGGAACGTGAGAGAAAGAGAGAGAAAAAAAGACGCTTGTATACAGGGTGTCGAAAAGTATTCGGTAATTTAAGGGAATAATTTCTGTCGAGACTCGTATAGTGTCAGGACGTTAGCGATTCTTTAGAAGCGATTGAAAATCAGAGGGTTTTAATATCTGGATCTAAGAGAATTAAGAGATTACAGAAAGAAGTGGAGACTCGACGTCAAAATGATCGAAGAACGCTTCCTTAAAATTTTGAGTCTGTTTTGGTAGTCCGTGCTTTTTACTGCATTTACAAATACACCATATCTATGTATAACCATGGTAAGAATAAAGCGATAGCGCATGGGTCTGAAAAACGCGCAACTTTATGAAACGAAAAATTTTAGACTATATTATTGGTTCGCGGAAAGCGAGACGCAAGTTAATTGGGATTGATGTATCGATTGCGGTGCGATCTGGTCGGAGCAGCGCGACTAGCTAGGAGATACAAGTGAGACCTGTTTATCAGCGCATTCCCTGAGGAACGTGATACAGCTTCAATGGAGAAAATATCCGGTATCTTCCAAGAAATCCGTAGATAAAACCGTGAACTGTATAAAAGTCGCGATTAGCTTTTAGCTCAGTGAGGCTCATTAAACATATTTGGATGAGAATCTCAAATAATTTTGAAATTATTTCAAACAGTTATAAAATAGGGCCAAAAATGCCATGTAATTAATTTATTAGTGTCAATATTTAATTTATATAATTTAGTTGTCCCCGTTGCATTTGTACATTATTATATAATCGACACAAAATCAGTATCCAGATTGTGTACCCTGGTCGTACGTGTAACTATATATGGTTGTTTATCATGCTTGAACACTGCGACACACACGCATGCACGCGTACATGCGCACACAAGTGCTTTCATGTATCCTGGGAGCGCTTAAAGCAGTTACTACCCCGCTGCATACTGCGCCGTAAATCGGAGTATTAATTTAATCAGAACGATTCTCGACATTTGTGGCATCGCGTAAGGGACTTCGCTTGCTTGTTTTAATTAACGAACGACTGGATTCGTTCGGTGATACATCTACATCGTGCGAAGCCAGCGTTCAATATCGTTTCGAATTTAATCCGAATTTATCGGGATCCGTATCTCGAGCGCGTACAATGTATCGTGTAATTCGATCGTGTCCATCAGGCTATTTACTTAAATTTTACATAACATGTTTGCGTCAACTAGTTTTTGATCCCGGATGAATTGAGAGTGATGCCGAAATCGTGTATCTCGCCCGTATATACCTGTCAACGCATCATCAGTTTATTTGCTCGCTCGTCGATATTGCGGGCAACGTGCAGTCGATTAAACGTGTCAGTAGCTTGCGCCGTTTACAATTACGTTACATTTGCAATTCCGAGTGATTTAATTTTGCCGATTTTAAAACACTATAGATCTTCTCTCTTTGCCCTTAATTTTTATCCAGATATTAGGACGTAGTTTTTATAACGACTTTTTTAATTGGGAAACTTGAAACTTAGGCGTATTGTATACAATACACATGATTCGCAGTTATTCTCGACTTGTGCTATTGTAATCGTTAGCTGTTAATGACGAAA